CCTGCCTGCGACAGAGAGACAGAGAGACCAAACAGAGACAGGCGGGCAGCAGGCAGGCAGCATGATGCAGGCAAATGTGTGAAACATCAATTTATGAACATCATGTCCACTGCACTGCAGTCACAGCCCCTGCCTTTCCCATTTGTGGCCCTCTATCCCCTAGCATCAATTGATCGCTGCAGGCGGCCAGCTCTCTCAGGAGGAGAAGGCAGCCTTGGCAGCGGATTGGTGAGGCGTATGGCATGCAGTCATCTGGCTGCCTAGTTTCTGGTTTGGGAGCTTACGGCGGTAAAACCAGCTCAAAATGCAAGGACTTTTTGGCCGGATGACTACTCGCAGGCTTCCCGTGGCTTAGGTTACCCAAGCCCAAATCGTCCAGACGCCAGCGATGGCGAAGGCACAGTGAGCGGCAGCCCACGGCAGGCTGGAAAAGATGAATCTGGAGAGCGTCGAAGGCATGCGAAGGCCAGCCTGTCGAGAGCGCGTGGATCCTCACTTTTGGTGCCTCAATTCAAGTACATAAATAAAACATCAAATTTCGACAAAAAAGGAATTGACAACAAAATCATATGACCATCAGAGAAGAATTCCATTGAGATTTGACAGAGACAACCATAATAATAAACATAACATATATTGAATTTATACAATATGTATATGTTATTTTGTTATTATTATAAAACAAATTATAATTATTATTATATTATATATAGAATAATTTGTAATAATGAATTATTGAAAATCCGAATCTTATTTGAATTATAGAGAAATTATTATTTGGTATATGAAAGCTATTGGGAGGTGGTGTTTGGTCGTATTGTGGTTTTATTTATTGGTTGTAACGATTGTTTCGATTATTTTTGATATTTGATGGTGTTTTTTATGATTGTTTGCCTTAATTTGTATTTGGTGGATTGAGATTTTTGTTTTTGGAACGGGATGATATAATTTCTATGCCTAAAATGGCGTTGGGTTGTGGATGGGTGAGATTTTGTTTTCCGATTCGTTTTGTTGTTAATTTTTTTGAGTATTTTAATTTGAAGATTTGGATTTATTATTTATTGTATTATAGAGTAGTAATATTTTTGTTGTAATAATTATATATAGATTTGAGGAAATAACATTGATATTTCTTATATAGAAATAATATGTAATTATTAAAATATTATAATAATATATATATATAGAAATTAATTCGTAAAATAATATAGAATTAATATAGATATTAAATTTTATGAATTATATATTAAATTTATAAATCATTATTATATAATTCTAAATTGAAAAAATATATATTTCTCAAATTAATATATTAAACAAATATAGAATAATGATATTAACTTATATTCCCAAAATCATTATTTAAATAATTTAATTAAACCAATTATATTAATTCAAATTTCAAGATATTTAAAATATCTTATATAATTAAGAAATTATACACATTAATATTTATTAAATTATAAAAATAATATATAACTATAAATTTTATATTTAAACAATTTATATAAGTTAAATCAATTAATTTAATTTTTAATTCAAAATATAATTTATATAATTATATAGATTTTTAATTATAAACAATTTTATAATAAATTAATAATGATTAATAGATTTTAACCTTTATATAGAAATATATAATTACTAATTATATATACTTATAAAAATATTTAAAATTTATTTATTTCAAAATATATATTTGTTTGATATAATTTTGAATTTTTTACAATCTAATTCATTAAATATAATGATTCTTTAATTTTTTGACATTTGAATTAACCCAATTAATTATTTTAATTATATATTGATTTTTTATTTAATATATTGATTTGAATATATATATATTTATTATAAATATAGAAATATAGAAATATATAATTAATAATTTGACATTTTTTATTTTACAATTTCTATTATTCATATATGTCTTTCTCACATATTATTTTTAATTTATAATTATTATATTTTAGATAATTTTTGTTTAATATATATTCCCGATTAATTAGCAAAAGATCTAAGATATATTATAATATATGTGCAAACCATATTATAATTTTCTCTTTTTTAAATTATTATAGATCGAATAAATTGAATATTTTTTTTTTTTTTTTTTTTAAATATATTAATGAATTATTAATAATTTGAATTTTAAAATTTAGATATATTTTTAGAAATTAATTTTATATAAAATAATATTGTTCTTTCACCATGTTTTCTATGCTTGAAATTCTATATTTATTATATATATGTTCAAGATTTTTTTTTTTTTTTTTTTTTTTTTTTTCAATTTCTTTATTAATCTATTAATATATATATTAATATGGTTGTTCTAAATATATATATAGTTAATTCTTGAAATTGATACCCCAAATATCATAATATAAAAACATATTAATATATAATAAATATAATATATTCATAATAAATATATAATATCCAAAAAATCAAATATATTATAATAATATAAAATAAGGAATCAATACTAGATATTTAATTTATATCCAATATTTCTAGATTTTAAAAAAAATATATGAACGAAAATTCGTTATTTCCAATAACGATCCATAAATCGACATAAAGAATCCAAATCTTAAAAGAGAGAAATACGACACACAACGACGCAAAAATATCGATTATATATGTATATATTGGGGTTTAGCTTGCAATATAAACAAAAATTCCGGAAATCAATATTAATCAATAACAAATATCCTGAAATACGCAATTAGTCGCGAAGAGCAACTAATCTCCGGGCGACGACGAATCGAGATGCGCAAACACAACGGCAAAACGAAAGAGATACCTCAAGCGTGTTTCGCAAATACTGCATAAACCGATGACCCCCCCCCCCAATTTTGCACCAAAAAACATCCCCAAAATTTCGTTATATAGGGATTTTTGCATCATTACGGGACTTGCAGCGACGCAGCTTGGTATTTCTTTTTACCTCGGAATTCCGGCGCGGTCGACGCGACATTTAAGGCAAACACTAATATTATAACCATATCTCAAATAAAGCTATTTCAAGCTAAGCTAGCGCGACAACCATTTAAAACCAAAGACCACGGCAATTATTACGAATCCTATTAAATTATATATTACAATTTAAAAAAAAAAAATGACAATATTATTCATCAAATATTGCAAAATATTAATATTAAAAAAAATATATTTACCAACGAAATCTCAAATAAATACAAATTAAAAATCAATTAATCGAAAAACACAAAAATCGATACATAAAAAAAAATATATAATAATAACAAAAACGGGAAAAAAAAAAAAAAAAAAAAAAAAAAAAAAAAAAAAAAAAAAAAAATTTATTTTAAACAACAAACAAAAAACAACAAAACACATAATAAAAAAAAAAACAATATATAAAATATAATTAAAAACAAAGAATTAAAATAAGAAATTTAGAAAACACATAACAAAAAAAGACAACCCAGAGAAAAAACAATTCAGAGAGAAAGAGGAAAAAAAGAAAGAAAAAACAAAAATCGGAAAGAAAGAGAGAAAGAATACCGAAAAAAAGAAAGAACCTATTTGTGGAAAATAATATCTCTCAAATAAAAAATATTAAACATTATATTTAAAAATAATTTAATACAAAATAATAAAAAAAAATAAAAAAAAAAAAAAAACGGTAAAAAAAAAAAAAAAAAAAAAAAAAACAAGACAAGAAAAATAAACAATTTATTTTAAACAACAAACAAAAAACAACAAAACACATAATAAAAAAAAAAACAATATATAAAATATAATTAAAAACAAAGAATTAAAATAAGAAATTTAGAAAACACATAACAAAAAAAGACAACCCAGAGAAAAAACAATTCAGAGAGAAAGAGGAAAAAAAGAAAGAAAAAACAAAAATCGGAAAGAAAGAGAGAAAGAATACCGAAAAAAAGAAAGAACCTATTTGTGGAAAATAATATCTCTCAAATAAAAAATATTAAACATTATATTTAAAAATAATTTAATACAAAATAATATATATAAATATATAAATATATATAATATTACCTAAATAATATTCAATAAATATATTCAATTTAGAATACATTTTAAAAAACATAATATTATTTAATTTCCATAAAAAATATATATTTATACTAAAATTTTGCCAAATTTTATTGTATATTCTAACCTTTTAATAATAATAAAATCCAATTAAATATTCATATATATTTAAATAATTTTAAAACAAAAAATTATTTTTCAAAAATAATATTCAACAAAATATTAAACCCATAAAATAACATTATTAATATAAAAATAATTAATAATAATGAATAATTAATAATAATATATAAATTCAAAAATATTAAATTAATTAAAATCACATTATTATATAAAATATATTCCAAAATACAAATATTATATAATTAAACATCAATAATATAATCATAATTTTCATTAATCCATCTTCATAAATAATATTAAAACCACACCATACCAATTTCGATTCTACATATCATTATAATCTTCTCATATACCATTTATTAAAAAAGACATGTTAAATTTTAATATGTGAATTGTATATTTCAACAGAATAAATCATCTAAACAAATACAAATATAATATATAAACAAAGAATAATTAATAAATATATACAATAAAAATACATATATTATATAAATACATATAATATATCAATTAAATCAAATTCTTACATATATAAACAAATATAAATATAAATATATATTGAATTTCTAATTTATATTTAAATCAATTTATATCAATAACTATATATTTTAAATTATATTCTATTCTATAAAATAATTTATGTTCATAATATATAATTATTAATTTTAATTAAAATTACAATATATTTATATAATATAATCAATAATATATAATTCATATTTTAATAAATATAATTCAATTCAATTACATATATAAATAATATAATAAGTGTATATATAATGATATATATATAATTATATATATATAATATTCATTTATGTAAACATGGGTAATATCGTACGATATAATTTCTCCATTCATCAGGGAACATCATTGCTCAGCCACATAATGCGTGTTTTGTTTGCATACGGAGTGTTGGAGTGCCATGGCTTAGCATGGATGTTGTTCCAGTACTGACCGGGTCAGCCATGTCGCGCTAACATGCCCGTCAGCACACGTGAGCACCTTGGGCATGAATTCTGTCCACATCATGCTATCCTGCAAGAATTGCATCTCTGTACAGATGAACGTGAACTAGGGGAAAGCATGCGGCAGCGCTATTTGTAAGCGAGCAAGGACAGCGGTGTTGTCCCAGGGAATGCTTCGTGCTCCGCGGATCACGTTTTGCAGCAAGTCCGGGTGCTGCTGGCGAAGTGTCTCCCAGGTCAAGTCTCCAACCTCCGCCCGGACCTGTGCGAGCAAGTGCGCCGCCCGAAGTTCCAAGAATAGGTCGCTCGCATTCTGGTCCGTTTCTGGCAGGTGGCGCAGTCTCAGCTCAGGCGCCAAGATCTCGTGCAAATAGATGGACCCACTCATGCAGTTGTGCGCCGTACGACAAATATCATACAAACATCCACACACCCAGCTAAATTCGGTAGAGCAATGGGAGCAAGTCATATGGCAGCAGGCATCTTGCCGCTCGATCGGCACAGCACAGCCTGGACAGTTGCGAAAGAGTGCCTGCCGTAGGCAACTTTGGACACGCGGTACCAGGCCTTAGGTCGCTTAGGTGATATTGGGTGTCACAAAAAATATGATCCCTGCCGTTTTGTGGGTTTGGCATGGGCTTGGGAATCATCAAGATGAGCTCTGGTGTCCGTTCATTTTGCTTCTCTGTTGCACCCTTTCAAGACAACCCCTTCAACAGGCACCCTCCACAATAGGGGGTGTTCTTTTTGATGGACCTCTCTTAGGGCAAGTGGAAAGGGAAACCAAATGAAAAACAGCTCTCAAAGCAAGCCCGCGAAAGCGCACTCGAAAAGGGCACCTCCAAGACGCACCCAAAGCTTCCAGTTAGTAGGTAATCAGGGAACCACCATTCAACAACTAGAGGGGACATCCCCAACTACCTCAAACAAAATTAACCTCTCAGATCTGGGGGGCAGCAGATCTCGGGCCGTTTCTTGCCATAGGTTCGGCTGGGACTGGCCCTGCCCCCCTGAAAGATTGCTAGCTTGTTGACTTGCCAACTGCCAGGCTGTGGGAGGTGCTCTTCCGCCTTGAACATGACTTTGGTTTTTATTCCTCGCCTACCCTGAGACATTCACAAGCTTTGGAGACCCCATAGCCACAGTGGAACTGGGTTTGTCTCAAAATGCAAAAAAACAACATGAATGTTCTATGTTGCTTCCCTTTAAAGTAATTACCAAAGAGGGTCTCCCTCCCCCAAGAAAGGGACACACACACACACACAAAGAACTGGACTGCTCTACCTGCGCCTCTAAGGCTCCCACGCTGCAAGCCACTGGTGAGCAGCGTTTGACGCCGCGCCTCCTCTTCGCAGCTCAGGCCGTGGTGGAAAGGAGAGGCGCCACAACGAATGCAGGACTCCATGTGGCCTTGGATCAACTTGGAGCCATTCTTTAACCACAAGCCAACGGTCGAGTCAACTTTTGTCCTTTTCGTGGGGGAGATTGGGGTCTGACACACTTTTCGAGTCATTGCCCTTCGCACGCTTTCCAGCATGGCCAGGATAGGCTTCAGAAACGGCAGGAATCCATGTATATATAGGGGGGGAGAGAGCAGCCAACGAGAAACCAACCAACATCCATCAACTGTCAAAACCTTTAGCAGCCCAGTTGCATATTTCACAAATCAGCCGCGACAAGTCGTCATCACCGATCCAGGCACGGTAAGGACAATCCGGTGTTGGGCATGCGATGAACGACCTCAAAACGAAAGGCTGCATGGAAAGCTGCGCGTCAGCAACATCAACCTCACGATCAGTCTTTGGTCAGGCTACTTGGGTGCAAGGCTCAGTAAATGTTTAGCCACCTGAGCCACCTGAGCCATAACCCACTTCCAGGTCTTGCCCCTTCGTTCCCAGGCCGGCCCCGGGCCAACCACTTGCCCGGACATCCGGGCCAAGGCGCTCATCGGCCAAACACAAATTCTCCACCGATCGCCGGACAAAGCGGCCGAAGTCAGAGACTGATAGCACCGCTTGTAGCTGACGGTGCCCGATTGGATGCCTGCAATCCGGCACCGGGCAGTGAATGGAGCTCCTTCCTGCGAGTTGGCGCCGTTTCTTCTAAGGTTTTGGAGGCACAGGGTGTGTGTCACAATAGGGGGACCCCAAAACTGGGTGGTGTCCCAACCCCTAAAAAGTGACCTGAAAGAAAAAACACCTACGCACACCCAATTGGTGGGCTTGCCTTCTCCAAGTTGCACCGCGGCCCATTGCTGAAGACATCCTCAGGCGGGCCCCCCCTGTTTAAACGGGTCTTTAAACAAACGGCGTGGTTAAAACAAAGTTTGCCAACCTGCCCCCCACCCACAGCACTGGTCTGGTTGGCGCGTTTCGCAACCTGTGGTTGAAGATAAACGGTCCCCCGCCACCCACTGTTTGAATCACCTGTTTGTTTCGCTTTCAATCTCCTTTGCAAAACCAGCCGTGGCCACAGGGCCGCAGCCGCAGGGCCCCGCCACGTGCATGAAGATCCGCGCAAATCGTGCACGCCTCGAACCCGTGGGTGTCATCGGTTTACCCCATCCCGGGAGAAATGGTCGCAAAAGAGATTCGCCCATCCCAGGTGTGGGTGTCATAAGAACCGGCTTCCCCATTGGGATAAATGGTCGCACAAGAGATTCGCCCACGTGCTGATATTTGTCCATTTCCTGGGAGTCTCAGGCTAGCGTAAAGCAAAAAGGACTCGAATCCCTGCAAAGGCTGGAGCTGCTCCTCACACCTGGAGGCCATGAGGCCCGATGCATGGTTTTCCATTTGACCACGAAGGGCCCCGTCTCAGTGACCAGGACCCCTCCCTCATCATTTGGAGTGACAAGGGTTGGCGGCAAAACCTTCAATTCTTTGAACAACCAGACCTTGGCCACCTTATGATAATCCAACGGATGTTTGGGTGAATGGCTCATCCCGCCTCCGGCTTGCTGTTCAAGTGTAGCGCGGACACAGCACAATCGCCCATGAGAATATCTAGTGCAGCCTGGCGAAAGAACCAACAGGTTGGCCGAGACCCACGCCACTGAGGCCAGAGACCCATTCACTGATGCTCAAGTAAACACAACACCCAACGTGAGCCCAGACCTACCAGCTGAAGGATTCACAGCATCCACAGCATCTGCCAGCTAGAACGCAGAGTTCCATCAAAGACCTTACCAATGTAATGTATCAACAACTGCTTAAGTACATTCATGTGAGTTGGCATGAGATGGCAGTGGGTCTTCTCGAAGTGATATCTGCCCTGGGCAAGCTGGGCCCTACTTCCTGAATTCAGGGGCCCACATTGACCATGCTCCAGTGATGAATCGGGGCCGGTCCCTTTAAGAGAATGACCTCCTTCACTGTTTGACCAACAAACTGAACTGAATGCATCAAGCAAATAGAGTGAGTTGCTCCTCGGGGTCCCCTCCTATGAGAGTTTCTTTTTGGGGTCCCATCGCTGATGCCCCGATTTCCCCCTCAGATTCCGTGTTGATTCTGTCTCCGGGCTCCTGGCTCCGGCCTGCGTGTCCGAGCCGGTCACTTCCAGCACCGCCCGCGCCCTCCGCGTGGGCCGCGCAATGCGCAAGACAACTTCCAGGGCTTGGCCCAGCTCCAGCAGCATCGCCTGCGTGGGCAACTGAGATTTAGTGGGCCAAACATGGGCCAAAGAGGTGATGTTGAAACAACTCTTGTCAACAACCCCCTCCAAATGTAATTTCGAGGGGCAAAGGAACAGCTATCTGGCAGGAGGCCAACCAATTGTTTGAACATGTTCCCAACACCCATGGTTCAAACAATCTCCGCTTCTCTCTCTTGCCTCACTGCCCTCGATGTCATTGACGCTGCGAAGCTCATCCCCCACTAACATGAAGTTGCCTCCGGATAAGGCTCCTTCCTGATTCCAAGCAGCTGCAGCAGAGCCAGCGCGGATGTGCTCGACAAGCAGATTGCTGGGGTTCTCATCGTCTGGCACGCAATCTAGACCGAAGGAGACATTTGACGTGCGTGACAGCGGTATAAAGGCATCGTCGCCTGCCAGCTCGCGCATGCAAGCTTCTTGAAAAACATGTCCAGGCTCGCTGGGTGGAAAGCACCTTGCACTCAGGAAGGGCTGGCTCATGGGTCTGCTCGACCTCTGCACGTCGACATTGTCAACCAGCACAAGCTCGTGCTTTGCATGAACTGATGCCCTCACCGCATAGCAATCTGCACAAAGGTCAGCGTTGCGGCAGTCCAGGCATTTGAATCTGTCGCCGACAATTGGACTCACCCTGCATGATGCACACTTGATACCCCGGTGAACTTGCAACCTCGTAGTCTCCAAGCTGAGGATTAATGGTCCAGAGCTTGGCTGAGTGGAATCCAGGGTGGAGAAAAGCTGTAGGCGATGACAGTGCCTGGCAGATTGGGGCTGACCTCTTGCTTTGGTCAGCTTAGCGTCTCCTGATTCTGCTACGTGGGCTATATAGCATCCTTATGAGCAATGAGTCAGCGTTTTGACCCAGCCTTCCAGGTGGGATTTCCATTTCCGCAACTGCCAGCAATGTCGATTGCTTCACCTTAGCTTTGCTTGGGGCCATGCAAACGATTACAACATCGTCAAGTTGCCTCTCGTCGCTGCTCAGCGCTTAAGCAGCATCAAACTGAAAAGGTCGTCTCGCAAAACGAGCATGCAATGCGTCTAAGTCCATCAAGATTTCCGCACACAATGACAAGTGCGCGTTCGTTGGCACCAAACGGGTATTCTAACCAACCTAATGTGGGAGGGGTCAATGGCCAAGCTGCGAATGCTTGCCGAGGCGCCAGCCCGAAGGAATTGTATCCGGCGCAAATGTGAACGCACAAGGCAAGCTCGGAGGCATCTTCTTTGTATACGATGTCACCCCCTGCAAGGTCACAATCGCTAAGACAAGCATTGCCACACGACAAGGCCTTCTCCGAAAAGCGAAGGACACAACAACTTGATTTAGCGAAGATTGGTATCCTGCTACCTCAGCAAGCCTAGAAAAGACACGGAAGTGAGATGATATTCGTGGATTCATCTGACTCAAAAGTAGCCCACGCCCGCCCATGAATTCAAATGAGAGGGCGCTCCTCAGAACCAAATACAAGCCCGGGCTCATGTGTCCCTTTTGGCCATGGAACCAAGCATATACCAAGCAATCACGATTCGAGGTTAACATTCCGAACACACAACACATGCCAATGGCCCAACTACACTCACAAAGCATAAATGTGAAACTTGGCCCAGGGTACAAAAGCTGACCCAAGGCTATGGCAAGTTGTTGGAGGCCAAGGCCCATGGCCTCGCCAAGTTGGCCTTAGGCCGCCGTCTGCGGCCTCCGTGTGCTTGCTGCGCACTTTGCCCGCGCGCAGACGCGCGGGAGGCCCCACCTGCGCGCGTCTTCGCGCGGCGGCCGTCGGCCGGTGAAGCGTTGGCCGTTGCGTATTCCGCATTGGGGAACTTAATGCTTTGACGGTGAAATGAGCATTCAGGACATGATGGGAAAACTGGGGATGCAAACAAGATGCAGCCTTAAAGCATCATCAGGTCATTGGCTCACCCTTGGGGAGTACGCTCAACGGGAGGGGGGGTCATGCATTTTGCCTGCTTGGTTGATGAAGCCGCGCAGGTACATACGCCGGACATATCTTGCCGGACCAAGGGGCTAAACCTCCCACTTCGGAGGCTATGCCCCTGTGCCTATGGCGGTCGGTTGGGCATGGTGATTTGGAGTTCACTGGGTGCCCAATTGAGTCTAGAGAGCCAATGCACTGATCCAAACCGCCAAGTAAGGATGACCTGACCCACGGACAATATGCTACTCGCTATTGGTTCATTTTGTTTTGCTCTGTCTCTCTCTCTCCCTCTGCCGCAGTCCACCAGAGGTGGCCCCCTTGTTTTGAGAAAGCAGGGGGATATTGGGTAGGACCCCCCCCCCCCGGCCCCCCAAATTAACAACAAACTACCAGGCAGAAATATTGTCCGACGCTCATGAGAAATTGGTTGTGCCCCCACTGACCCACAGCATATTATGTCTGAATCGGGTTGTGCTCCTGAATTTGGTTGGGAATCAAACTTGGTCTGTCCCATACTGTGGATGGACAAAATCCTACACCACCTAAGCAACCCTGGGGTGATGCTTCCCCTGTGAATACCAACAAACAATGGTTTGCTATGGTTTCAAAGTGGTGCAGGATTTCGTCCACTCACAGTATTGCACGCCCTCCCCAACCAACAATGACGGCACGCGCCCACTGGCGGATGGCCGACGGCCGACTCCCACACCTTGACGTTGCACACCAGCCCCGGTGTGTGTGCCCCGATCCGCTCCAAGGCTGCCCGCAAACCTTCCAGGTTGGCCGACTGGATCCTCACAGCGACCTGTCGGGAACCGGCCCGATTTGGACAAATCAACGGATTCAATCGTAGTCACACAAACACCGCCCCCCCCCCCCGCCGCCACTATCCCCTTCCAAAAAAATGAACAAAGGAAAAGAGAAAGAATGCAAAACAAACAACACATTGATCACATCAAAACAACGACGCTCATGCACACAGACACAAAAAATGCCAGGATGGATGGTGTCCCAATCGTTCACCCCTAGACCTCCATACCCCTCGAGCCCGCAACTGCTCCGGACCACTCCGGAGCTTAGCTGGGTTGGTGCGAAAGCTCGCGCTGTTTGCACAAAGAACTTTCCCTTCGTGGATGATGCTGGCAGGTCCCTGAGCGAAACAAATCCACACCTTGTTTTGAGATGACCCCGAACAATAATCAGGACTGCTGTTCCCAACATTTTTTCCCAACAGCTGAATTCGATGGGGTCTCAGCCCAGATAGGGTCCGGGGTGGTCCAGGGCGGCTCTGAGGTAACGTGCTGTGAGGGTTCTGCGAGGGTTCCACGAGGGTTCCCGAAGGACTGACCGTTGTGAGGGGTGTGCTCGTGCTTTTTTCCGCGTCTGCAGAACCCACACGGGCGTGTTGCTGAGCTTGTTTCTTTCATCGATGCACACGAATTTACAAACGCAACCAAGCTCGTGACAACTCGTCACACCCACAAACCAGGCATTGCCGGGGCCCCTGGGCAGGCCCATGGTGCGCGCAATGCGACCCCGCTCCGTCACGTTGCCTGATGTTCGGGAGTCCGCCCGCAGCCCAAGAACTTCTTCAATGATCGGAGCCCGAAACCTGGGCAACACATGTTCCACGAAATTTTCGCAAGGAGTGGGTCAACAATAGGTACGGCTGCCCCGGTAAATGGAAACGAGGACTCAATCCTGCCCCGGGAGTTTTTTGTTCTCTTTTTTTTCTTTTTCTTTTTTTTTTTCCTTTTGGACCCATACCCAAGCGCAAGATGATAGATTCAGAGAAATGGTCATGGGTCAACATCCAAATCGTACCAGTGAACATCCCAATCCAACCACTAAAATAGGTTCTAAAATGGGTGGTAAATTCACCCTCCCCCAAAATGGGATCCCAAAACGGTTTTGACACCCACAGCCAAATAGCAGCCAAGAAGCGGAAAGGAGTTCTCAAGCCAGGCAGCGCCAGGGCATCCAAGGCCTGCGGAATCTTGTGGTCTGGAATCGGGTTCTCCCGCGTTGCTTCTTGCAGTCGCTGGCCCAGTTGCCTGGCCGTCTTGATAGAACCTCACCTTCTGGGTGCCAAGCAGGGGCCTGGGAAAACTAAAGTACCAAAACCACTTGACATCCTTCTGGGTTTCAAAATGTTTCAAATTAAACATTATAGCACTTCTGGCACCAAATTTCTCGGGATAGCCGATCGTTGCATGTGCCTCAACTCTTGTACTTCCACATCCTCGATTTGATCTGCCCGAAGCAGCTGCAACCGCACCCTGGCGGTATACCGGTACGGCTCACCTTGCCCGGGGGCCGACGTGGCTTCACTAGGTCCAACACACGTGAACCCGCCTTGCCAGAATAAGAAAAGGCGGGTGATTGCCCCGCCCGTAAAGAACCAGGAGTCACGGTAGTCAACGTTCTGCATTTTGCGGCCAAGACGCCTGAGGGTTGCCAGGAAATCTGGACAGTGTCGCCAGGGCCCGTGCTTTGCACGGTGCACCTTGTCCAATCCCCTCGCCAGTGGAAGCGAACAAAGTCGCCCACACGAGGCAAGTCCAGGAGAGCAGCCTCATTCAGGCCAAGCATCCCGAAAAAGTTAGCGCTCGCTAGCCGAACCTCACATCCAGGAAATTGCCGAACTGGCCCCTAGGCACTTGGGTGCTTTTCAATTGACCCTTTCACCTAGGTTTGGAGGGAACCACTTTGGTTGGGTTCCCCCAGGTTGATACATGCACACTCACAAGTTCCAGCCAAGCATCTCGATCAGGAGTGGGAGCGGAAATCGGCGCCGCTGCCACAGGAACTGGAGTCAGTTCAGTATGCCGGACTCGCCGTAGCAAGGCATGCTGCTCCGCCACTGAGACCCAATGCGGCCTGGCTCGTTCCAATCGCAGCCACGGGGCAAAACCAGTAACTGAGCCTACCCCCTGCGCAAGCTGAGCTGTTTTGTTGCAGGAAACGCTGTGGAAAACATATTTTCAACAAAAAGTCAAAGGCTAATAAACATCCCACGCAGCCGAGGTGAGACCCTGTTTTTTTGTTTTTTCTTTTTTGTTTTCCGCATGCGGAATGCGCGCCGGCGCCTGCAGGAGATCTGGATGGGGCCTTGTGGCAACACTCGCAGGACCTCGGCTTTGGCCAAACCAAAAGGCTTCAATTTGAACGCAGCCTTTCACTACAACTCCCATGAACTGGCCTCATTATTTTGCCATGATCAAAGTCACCCCCTAAGTCGTGCGTTAAGGGAGACAACCACATTTTCTGACTTTGAGAACCCCCAGAAACCGTCAAATTAATGAGGTAGACGTTAAAATCACAAACACGTTTTTCAGAGGACCTCGTGTCCCTGATGCAAACTCCTTTCTATGCCCCGTAGATCAACATCCTTAGAGACCTGGGCATGAAAAGCGACCACCTTTTGGGGGACCTAAACATGGCGCAAAATTGGAAAACCAAAAGGTCAAAAGGCCGATTCGCTTTGGCCGGGCGTATTTTTGGGGCCTTTTCTTTGGTTTTTGGGGAACCGGAGGGCCAGAAAGAAGGACATAAGCCGAGGAGCATAGCCAAGGGTCCACGTTTGTCGTGACCTGGCGCCACTACCACAAGCATGGGTCGAAATTCCTCGATTCTCGTTAAGCTCCAACATGCACCAACCCAAACAGGCTCCATTTTGGGCTTTTAATGGGCTTAACTACAACTCCCATGAAGCCAGGAAGCAGATGTTACAAGCATGAACGCTTGCCCCAAAGAACACGGGACAATTTGGGCTTGTCCCTGATACAAACTCCTTCCTATGCTCTGCAGATTAATATCTCAGTTGCCCAAGAGACCCAGAAACACAATGCAAGATAACCATTTGGGACCTTGACTAAATATGGACAAAAACTGGAAAAAACAAAAGGCCGAAAGCTCAGCTTTGGACTTCTGAGATGTTCTTGCCTGACAAATCCTGAAATCCACCTAAAAAGGAGAACAGCCCTGTGTGGTCCTCCAGGTCAATATCAGATTGACATTAGTATCATTCAATTCGCATCGACAATGCGAGCCCGACCGACCCCCTTCCCCCGCCAAACGCCCAGCAAAACGCCCAAGCAACGCACAAAAGGCTGTCACGTGCTACCCAAATATCTTTGATTTCTAGCACACATCAATTCTGTGACCGCCTGCACCAGTAGGCAATGTGATGGCCAGGTTGGTAAGGAGCCACGTGCTGCCTCCTTAGGATTTAGGGTTAGGATGGGCTTCGGCTGTTGCATTTGTGCCAAGGTGGGGTTCCCGTGAATGCAAGGCAGATTTCCGGGGCTGCAGCATGGTTCAGCTCTTTTAAGAAGGCCTTGAAGGGTCGAGGCTGGCTTTATGTTGGCTTTTGGGTGGATCTTGAATGGTGTCACTTTGTGCTTGATGGAGGATTGTGAATCTAGGATGGGCTTCAAGTAGCTCTACATTTGGTCTCACGATTGGTTTGTTTCTTGCAGGCTTTGGGTTATTGGGGATGGTTCAAGGTTTGGGGTTGGCTTAAAAAGTAGGCTTAGGGAGGTCATAGTGCACGAGATTTTTGGTGACAGGTGGGTTGCGGTTGCTTTTGGGGTTGTATCAAGTTGTATCAAGTTATATCATATCCCACAATATCCCAGGTTGCCTTCTTCGTTCGTGTGCAGGGTGCTGAGGCCCCGCAAAAGAACGCGAGGCCTGTTGGGCAGCACCAAGGGCTTGAGGCCCCGGGCCTTTAGCTCGGGAGTCCTAGGGCGAACATAGGCCTAAAATCACACTGTTCTCACATCTATAAATATCTTGACTCTTTTTTTAGGACAGGCTTTCCAAATAAAGCGCCAGACCCGGAAGGAGCAAACAAGGTGTGAGAGCCAATGCGCACCATGTGCAGCACAAGCCACAGCCGCAATTGGATGCAAAGGTTCCGCGGCAAATCTTGCTGCACGCCCTGCACAGCGATCAAAGCCAATTCACACGACTCCCTATACCATAATTGCTGCTGATCTTCTGCTGGCCTTGGGGGGCCTAGTAAATTCTAGACTGGCGAGGTTAAACCAGCCATCTCCGGTAAACTTGTTCCTGGCAGGGTTCAAACAAGGAGTTTAAAGGGGATGTGGCAGCATGGGGAGTCTGAAGTTATCTCCATTGATTACAGCAATTCATCAGGGTGGAATCGCTCAAGATGAGTTCGCCAAAGCTGAGTCGAGTTGTTAAAAATTGGGGGGGGGATCCCCAATCCCAATCCGCAATCCATAGCGGGATGCCACTACAAAGGGAGCCACTACTAGTACCATGTAGCATGAGGATTTTGCAGATTGATTTTGAACAATCCGGACTATTGTCTTGGAACCACCCGAAAGCCCCTTGCTGCGGCATTTTGGGCGCTTTTGGCTGGTGCGGAGGTCATGGCTTTCCGCCCCTCGCCTGTGCCATGTATGGCACCTGGTTCGCTGGATGCTGCCAATCCGGCCATTGGGCTTGCCGCACCCACCTGGAGAGAACATGGTCTTGGCCGCAAGTCAGGGCTTGGTTACGGCGGGTTTCGGTCGGTCTTCGAAGCCGGAAGAATTCAGGCGCAAGTTTACCTGTGGGTTGATGCGTTCAGCCATCGTTCAGCCATTGAACTTCAGAGAAAGGGTTTGACATCGGAGGGGATGGGACATTTGCAGCGGATGGGACATTTGCAGCTTAAGCTAGCCTTCTCACTGCAATATGCACATGAAGTTTGCGGCCCCATGGGAATGCATGGCGACTCCCGGGAATCGCATATGAGTCCCTGCAGGCAATGCTTTTGAAATGCATGGTGTCTTGCTTCAGGGTACCTTTTGGAGATTGCTCAATCTCTTGAGACAAAACCGTCCCTCACAGTGGCCTGTCGGGCAATGCCACGCGTCCTCCAGGAGGAGACCCTACGTCCATGCCAGCAGCTACTCTGAGCCCTGCTGAGCCAACATGCTATTTGAACGATTGCTCAGGGGTCGGGTCTTCCTGTTCAAGGCCGGCATTTCAAGTATCCGACACGTGTCGGCCGCCCCAAAAACGAACTGCAATGGGATTTGTTGGTGAAAACGTATTGTGCTTGCATCGGCTTGACGGTAGGTCCTTGGATTGAGCAACCAGTTGCCGCCGAGCAAGCTCTTTTCCTCAGAGCCCAGGCAGCAGCGAACCAGGTATGGACAGGACGATGCCAGAGGCCTCAAGGGCAATTGCATCGCGAAGAAGTCAATCTGTGGTTGGTCCCACTTTCTCCTTGACAAGGTTGTTACAAGGTTTCAACAGCCATGTTGCCTTCTTGCGTTTAACGAAGGTTCCATATGGGTTCCATCCAACATCTCCTAAACATCTTGCCACCCTCCCCCCGTCGCAGCTCTCTCACATGCGTGTGCTCGTTGGTCTGCCACCAAGATCCGTGCCACAAGCGCGGTGGCCAGGAATTTGAGCGCTGCATCCGGCTCAGACACCGCATCCTATGCTATTTTCGGATTCTCCTTCATGTGGCCATGGGTCAAAATCCAAATCGTACTCCCAGTGAACGGGACCCAATCCAACCACTAAAATAGGTCCTAAACTGGGTGGTGAATTCACCTACCCAAGATGGGATCCCATTGGTTTTGAGGCAGCCGCTCGTGCAGGAGAGTTGTAGCCTCCCTGCAGGAGAATGGCGTAAAACCTGGCATGTGTGAGGTGCCAGTGCCAAGGTGCGTATCAAAACCCGCCAGACCCATCGCTGAGGCCGCTACGCGAAAGCACCGTACATGAAACCGGTAGGGCTGCTTAAGCTGCCGCTGAGTAACAGGGCTACGCCTGCAAGCTGCAAGTCTGAAGCATCATCTGATTGGTGTCAACATTCACAGGGTGTTAAACATGACTGAGCCTTAGGTGAACATCAGCTCAATTGAGCCCAGGATGCTGCACAAATGGTTGTCCATTGGTGCAAGCTGGAGCCTCTTTGTCAATTCAAACCTGCGTAGGATTCCCTGATATTCAAAGGTCGAACATGCCGAGCCAAATCTTCGAAACAAATAACCTTTCGGAACCTCGACGAAACCAAATTGTTAGTGCAAGATGTGAGGGGGTGGCTTTCGGAACTTGGCCCCCTTTTCGTTGGCGGATGACTCAAATTGGCGGGTGGAACGACCCAAAGAAGATCCCCGTGGCGTGGAAGTCGCTTTTGGCTGTGGACACCCGCAGGTCTCCGAAGCAGCAAACTTCCGGGGCTGCGACCAATGATGCTGACGTTCAAGCGCAAGGCCCGCGCAAGGACAGCACCTCGTGCCCAAACTGCCCAATGTGAGTCATGCGCCAAGTTACTGGAGCATTTCTCAAAATTATTATTCAAGTTGTTCCCACACGAACCATTTCAAAGGGTCACTATTTTGAGAAATCTACACAAGGGGACACGGGAAAAGCTGTAAGTAGTGGGGAATTGGGTGAGGCCTCCGTGTCCATCCAGAAATGATAGCCGAAGGCCAAATCTTATTTGAATCACAGAGTGGCGAGGCGCTCACGCCTTGTGGGGGAAGTCGGGGGGGGGCTTTTGCTCGTTTTGGTCCCGAGGCCGTCGCCATCCAAGCGGCCCAGCGCAAGCAGATTCAGAGAGGTGATGACCAGACCTTGCGCTATCTTGTGATCGAGCCCTTGGCCGAAATCGACTGAGGCCCCGGCCAACGACGCCGCCAATCAAGATAGGGCTTGCTGGGAAGGCCAACTCCACCTCCAATCTGCAACCACTTCGACAATGAATCCAGGGATCTTTCAAGTTTGGGGACCTTCACTAAGCTGAGCTTGTCCTAGTGTTCGCGTGGTCCACCATTTTGGCGCCATTCTGGGCCAGCGGCTGGGTCTCTGAAAGGGTCGGGCTGCTCCGTGACTGACGACCTGCAAAAGAGAGACCAACACAGAGCCTTGCGTGGGATTGTCTCATTGCAGCCGCACCCCAAACATGCAAACGACCAAAACAAACAACAATGGTAAAGGCCGCCAACAATGACATGAGATTCGGCCGCCCATCCTCCCAAAACGTCTTTGGGGGGCAGGGGTTGACAGACGCGAGTGCCTGTGACTCAGCTCAGCACTCACCCAGCAATGGCCGCAGCAGGAACTTCAGCACCTCAGTGACCACTAATACATACAAGTACATACAAATACCAAAAAAACAACAACAACAATTACTACATGCAAACCTAGACAAATACATACCAATTCCAATACCAATACAAATGCAAATGCAATGCAAACATCTTCGCGTTGATGCTGCACACACGGCACCAGCGGCAAGAGTTGGTAGTTCAGGCTCACCTGATCCTCGCGCGTGAATTGACATGCGCCTTCAACATGACAGAATCCCTAAGGCTCGAGTCCAATCCATTTACAGAGGGCAGGAAGCCGCTATTTGACAGGATATTGTGAATCTTGTGGATTACTTGGCCATCTTTTAAAATTAGAGGAACGCCAAACGCGCCACTTTTGGCTTCTCAAAGCAATCAGCCGCCTGATTTTACCATGATCAAAGTCACCCCCGTGGTGGGTTAAAGGGAAACCCAAGTTTCTGACTTTGGTCACCCCCAAAAAACCGTCAAAATAATGACCGATCCACTCCTCTCCAGGCCCTACAGCCAGCCCGATCAGCACCAGCAGAATGGAGGTCTTGGAGTGGGCAGTTGGTCCGGCTCTAGTGTGACATGTCTGATCAGACATGTCATGTGACTTTGTTGTTTTCTGAACTTCTTACCTGGAGTACCCTACCAGCCTCACGTATTATATGTCCTTACTAAACCGGGGGGCCATGCCTGATTAGCACGGCTTTCAAGCTGAACTGATGTGTACTTGCTTCGTGTGGGAAAGACAGCTCGAGCACGAGTGCGCAAACTTCGAGGCATGGACGGCGTAGCCAGCGAGGCCTTGGGCCAAAACCATCAACCTTTTGCTCGAAAATTCGGGTAACGAATAAGTTGGAATCCGGCAACAAACATCCCCAATCTTCAATTCTGGCCTGCTGAAATGGACATCGCCAAGTTCGCCTCCTCATTCGGCACCTCAAGGCTTCCCCCCACTTGGCCCGGCTTTCTGCTGCCAAAAAAAAGCCGCTAGGCACGCTGCGATGGATTGCTGCCTGGAAATCGCCCCGAAACCTCAGCATGAAGTAACTGCCTCCCTTGAAAAGGGCTTCTACACTGCGGGGAGCTGCTCGTTTATTTCACGGCGAACCTCAGGCGCGATTTACCTACGTACTGGGCGCGAACGAGGCTCCGACAGCCCAATGAGGGCAATGGCCACACCTGAAGTCATGAAGCCAAAATCGGGAAGTTCCAATTTGGCTGGGGATCCGTGCTGGGACGAAAACGGGGGGCGTCAGCTCGACACCGTACCTCGTTTTGGCTTTTGTCCCACCCTTCCCACCTGCAAAGCCACTGCTCAGGAGCATTCTCAACCCCAGCTGACTGCCATTTTGCTCACCGTGGCTTACAAAAGAAGCTGAGCCCTACATTGCTCCAGCTTGGCCTTGGCTTAGCACAGCTGGGCAGGAACAGTGTGAGGCTTAGGTGGCAAGCCGAATTTAGCAAGGAACCTCTCCCTTCAGGAGGGATCAAAGCCCATGTACATACAATGCAGCTACGCCCAACACAAGAAGTTGGACGTGAACAAGCCATTTTGGCCAAGGCAGGTGACGTGTGGTGCATGGAAAGCTCTTGCGGACATCCGCCAGTACAAAGGCGCGCTTTGCATGACGTAGTGCAGCTCCAAGGGTGGGTGAAATGCTGAGAGCAACAAACGGCAGCCTGATGGGCCGCAAAACCATAGGTCTCTCACCCACCCCCTACTATCACCACGCTCAGCTAGCCAAAACAAGATGTCGCTGTTACTCGCAGTCCCACCGGGGATTGCTGCGCGATTAGCTTCATTCAGTGCAAGTCAGGACTTGAGCTTGCTGAGTGCATTCCATGCCTTATGCGCTGCGGGTACGGCTTGCGGTCATAAGAATGCCTCGACCCTGAAATCGCACAAGGGGCCAAGGTCCAACCGTGGGAGAAACAAGTAGTGGCAATGAGTTGCAACAAACTGGCAGTCTTAAGCATTCTTGCCATGAACGGTCTGCACCTGATTCCCCCCCACAAGCCTTTGTGAACTCACAATGACGGTTTGAACAAACAAAGTTAAAGATGTCCAACATCTTGCAAGTGTATCATCTTGACACGTGGGGTGTCCATTTCCCTTACTGTCTGTATGTTCGCTGTGGCTCGAAAAGGAATTGTAGGCCTTCATAGGCAGCAGTTGCTTTCAAAACTGGGCTTCTCCAGTCTACCTGGCGATATTTGACTCCAACATCTCCAGAAGGACCCTCGCTTGAAGGCACAGTTCCGGTGAACGCTAGCAAGCCTCAGGAGGGAGGGCCTGGTAAATCCTTCAACTGTTGCCAACTAAGGGGCTTGACAATGGTTCTTTTTGCTTCCGTCTGAGAAAGCCCTCCAAATGGTTGGCTTGCTTTTTATGCACCAACCATCACACCATCCACTTGGCATCCTTGAAAAGCTTCCTTTGCCAGGGAGCTTAGACCTCGGACCCGAGCTTCAAGTTGAAGTCCTCTGGGGTCATGAAGATCTGGGCCTGGACCGCGGGACATGCCAACTGCCGCTACAAGTGCTTCAGGAAAACTTGCGCATCACAAATGGCCATGGGTCAATATCCAAATCGTACCCCCAGTGAACATCCCAATCCAACCACTAAAATAGGTCCTAAAATGGGCGGTGCACCTACCCCAACATGGGATCCCATTGGTTTTGGCCCACAGCCAAATGAACACACGGGGCTTCTGACTTGGCACTCCGCGCGCAGGAGGCCAGGCCTTTCCCTGAGACAGGCTGTGGGTGTCGTTGTTGCGTGCTTTGAGCGTCTGCTGGAGCCTGGCGGGGGATGTTGAAACCCCAATCAACCCAATCTGACATGGCAATGCAGCCAGTACAGCTGGAATTTCGGAACGTTGGCGTCTTTTCTGCCAGGCTGAATCACTGCCTTTGAACAACCCATTAGATTTGAGGCAAAGTCGGGGTTGAAATATGGCCACAGGAGCCCAATAAATGATTAGTTTCCTTGCTAAGCAGTGTTGGCGTGGGATATCTGTTATCTACAGAATTGCAGTTTTGTGCTCCGGAGAGTTGGGCATGTGTCAAAACAGGGATTCAGGCCCTACGAATTGTGGTATTGCTTTTGCGAACCTTGAAAAGGGCACGCGCCTCTCAAGACAAACTAAATACACAAACACGATAAATACACACACGAAAAAACGATAACACAACAAACAAAAACACACACACGCACGCACGCACGCACGCACGCACACACACACACACACTCACCCACACACCCACACACCCACACGCACACATACACACACATACACACACATACACACACATACACACACATACACACACATACACACACACACATACACACACATACACACATACACACACACATACACACACACATACACACACACACACCCACACACCCACACACCCACACACCCACGCACACACATACACACACACATACACACACACATACACACACATACCCACACATACACACACACATACACACACATACACACACACACATACACACACACATACACACACATACACACACACACCCACACACCCACACGCACATACATACACATACACACACACATACACACACACATACACACACATACACACACATACACACACATACACACACATACACACACATCACACACATACACACACACACACACACACATACACACACACATACACACACATACACACGCACACCCACACACCCACACACCCACACACCACACACACACACATACACACACATACACACACATACGCACACATACGCACACATGCACACACATGCACACACATACACACACATACACACACACACACATACAAACACATACAAACACATACACACATACACACACATACACCCACACACACCCACACACCCACACACCCACACACACACATACACACACATACACACACATACACACACATACACACACATACACACACATACACACACACACATACACACACAGACACACACATACACACACATACGCACACACACACATACGCACACACACACACCCACACCCACACCCACACCCACCCACACCCACACCCACACCCACACCCACACCCACGCTCGCGCGCACACGCACACGCACACGCACACGCACACGCACACGCACGCGCACACGCACACGCACGCGCACGCACATGCGCACATGTGCTGATTAGGCGGTGGGGTCAGTGTTTGTGGCTCCACCCTGCTCTGTTCGCAGGTAAAACGTAAGACGGTTTTACCGTTTCCCTCGCGTAAAACGGTAAACAGTAAAACCGCAAAGCGGTAAATGCGAAGAAGCCGTGATCTGACGGCTTTGGGGGGTGAGGGGTAGAAAGGGCCATGTCTCGGAGCCCGTGGCAGGCCAACTTCTGTAACCTCAACGCCCTGTGTTGGGACAATTTCTGCGATCCCTGCCATACTGTGGATGGACGAAATCCTGCACCACATTGAACCCATGGAAAACCACTATTTGTTGGTATTTACATGGGGGATCATCCTTCCGGGGGTTCTTGGGTGGAGGATTTCGTCCACCCACGGTATTACTGACATGTCTTTTATTGCACCTTTTAGATCAACAAAAAAGATATTAGTTAAAGATGGAAAAGTTATCCAGATGTAGATTCCACCTATAACTCCTTCAACATGTCCATGCCCCCATTTGCTACTTTCACTATTCCATCTTACTAATGGAGTTACTCCCCGTTGAATTTCCAAAACACCAAGTTCTTGAAGCTAGTTGGCATGTAGCCGTTGCATTTTTCTCTTACTCATGTTAATCTATTATCTTTTTCTCTATCCTGTCCTCATGCGTCGGCGCGTTATTTCGTTTCGCTTTTACTCGTCTTTATGGAAGTATTATTTAGGATATTATGGTTAGATGAAGGATATCCGAATCGCTCTTGTGTCGAGATTTCAAGGAAAAGGAGAGGAATAAATAATAGTGAATCCCGCAACTATTTGTATTCCACATCTTTATCTGTATGTCTTTATGGTTCAACTCCGAAGGCTACAAGTGATTATTGCCAGGCTTCAAAAGAAGGATGAAGAAAAAGGAGACGCTCGATGATTTCTCGTTGCTTGTTCCTTCTCTTAATTATCTCTCCGTTCCTCTGATTTCCAATCTAGTTCCTTGTAGCCTCAGATCTTGGAACTCATATGGCCCGCTCCCTTCTTCAGTTCTGATGAACATAAAAAATGCTGGAAGAAAGGCCATCCATTCCTTTCGTATCGATTGATTTACCTGTCGGTGTCTTCCGGAGAATTCCAAGATGAAGAAATAAGTACAGAACATATTTGATAATGACTTTCCCATTATCTGCTTGCACTACTGTCTTCTTATCCAGAAACAGATAAGGAACCTAATTAACACAATGACGGACATGCCATTCTCTCCTTCCCCTCTCTCTCTCCCCTCTCTATTTCTCATGTCAAGGGTTTGCCGAATGGAGCCAAAGGGAGAGAAGGCGCGAGCGAGTCCGTGAGACTCTTGGTTGACGCTTGGTAGCTTGCTAGATACACGGCGTGTCGCGGAAGGAACTCATGGCATTCATCCCTCTCCCATCTATACACGTACCAGCGCGAGAGATGGATGCGAGAGAGACATATGAAGGGAGGATGGGTGCTTGGCTACCGAAGTCCCTGACCTTCACTTCCCTCGAAGGGTTGGCAATCATCTCCCCCCTTCCAGCGCGAGTGAAGACTGCGCGGGCGAGTGCATTCCCTCCATTCGTACCTTGAGCCCAGCTACAGGAAAGTGATTGTGTAAGCTGGGGCTAGAGAAGAAGAGAGGAGAAATAAAAAAGAAGGGAGGGAATGGGAACGCTTGAGGGGCAAATCTTTCTAAGTGCTCCCAATGACCCCATCTTGTCTTACACATGGTCGTGAAGTCCGGGCCCCTTCATCAAGCTTCCGCGAGCGGCAGGCCCTCCCGCGGCACAGCACGAGTCTACAGTTTAGAAAAACGGTCAAACGGAACAGTACACGATGAAATACCCAATAGCATCCACCCGCTGCTAAGCCGGTAAAACGGTGAAATTCCCAATAGCATCAAGCCGCTGCTAAGCCGGTAAAACGGTGAAATACCCAATAGCTTCCACCCGCTGCTAAGCCGGTAAAACGGTGAAATTCCCAATAGCATCAAGCCGCTGCTAAGCCGGAAAAAACCCAATAGGTGAAATGAAATCCCAATAGCATCAAGCCGCTGCTAAGCCGCGGTCCCAATAGCGGTGCCGGTAAAACGGTGAAATCCCAATAGCATCAAGCCGCTGCTAAGCCGGTAAAACGGTGCTAAATTCCCAATAGCATCAAGCCGCTGCTAAGCCGGTAAAACGGTGAAATACCCAATAGCATCCACCCGCTGCTAAGCCGGTAAAACGGTGAAATACCCAATAGCATCCACCCGCTGCTAAGCCGGTAAAACGGTGAAATTCCCAATAGCATCGGTGAAGCGCTGCTAAGCCGGCCGCTGCTAAAACGGTGAAATACGGCTGCTAAGCCGGTATTCCCAATAGCATCAAGCCGCTGCTAAGCGGTAAACGGTGAAATTCCCAATAGCATCAAGCCGCTGCTAAGCCGGTAAAACGGTGAAATTCCCAATAGCATCAAGCTGCTGCTAAGCCGGTAAAACGGTGAAATACCCAATAGCATCAAGCCGCTGCTAAGCCGGTGAAAAGGGTGAAATACCCAATAGCATCCACCCGCTGCTAAGCCGGTAAAACGGTGAAATTCCCAATAGCATCCACCCGCTGCTAAGCCGGTAAACGGTGAAATACCCAATAGCATCCACCCGCTGCTAAGCCGGTAAAACGGTGAAATACCCAATAGCATCAAGTCGCTGCTAAGCCGGTAAAACGGAGAAGTTCCCAATAGCATTTACCCGCTGCTAAGCCGGTAAAACGGTGAAATACCCAATAGCATCAAGCCGCTGCTAAGCCGGTAAAACGGTGAAATACCCAATAGCATCCACCCGCTGCTAAGCCGGTAAAACGGTGAAATTCCCAATAGCATCAAGCCGCTGCTAAGCCGGTAAAACGGTGAAATTCCCAATAGCATCCACCCGCTGCTAAGCCGGTAAAACGGTGAAATACCCAATAGCATCAAGCCGCTGCTAAGCCGGTAAAACGGTGAAATACCCAATAGCATCAAGCAGCTGCTAAGCCGGTAACACGGTGAAATACCCAATAGCATCAAGCCGCTGCTAAGCCGGTAAAACGGTGAAATACCCAATAGCATCCACCCGCTGCTAAGCCGGTAAACGGTGAAATACCCAACAGCATCCACCCGCTGCTAAGCCGGTAAAACGGTGAAATTCCCAATAGCATTAAGCCGCTGCTAAGCCGGTAACACGGTGAAATTCCCAATAGCATCCACCCGCTGCTAAGCCGGTAAAACGGTGAAATATCCAATAGCATCAAGCCGCTGCTAAGCAGGTAACACGGTGAAATACCCAATAGCATCAAGCCGCTGCTAAGCCGGTAAAACGGTGAAATACCCAATAGCATCAAGCCGCTGCTAAGCCGGTAAAACCTGCTGCTAGGCCAGTAAAACGGTGAGACTGTTTTACTATCTACGCTTCTGGAGTTTTGCCGAAAAAATGAGAAGTGGACCTGTTGGCCCACCCCGCTGCGAAACCAGCTTAGCGGGCACGGGCACACGCACCAACGCAACACAACACGACATGGCACGACACAACACAACACAGCACACACAGCACGCAGCACGCAGCACGCAGCACGAAGCACACGGTGCACAGTGCACGCAGCAAACAACACACACACACACAGTCATTTCTGAGAAAGCGCAGGTTCGCGCCTGTACATCTCCACTCGCTCGGTGACGTTTGGCACAGACATGTTCAGTCCTTCGATGTAGGCCAAGGCTGCTTGCACCTGGGCTGTATCCAAAAGTGAGTCAACCAAACACCCATTTTTGTGATAATTAGAGACTTAGACAATGCTGTCTTGGGCTCCCGCCATCTTTTCTCCATCTGACTGACCTTGAAATTGCTTCTCCAGCTTGGTGTTGTCAGCCTCAGACATGTTGGCTTTTGCTGGCCGCTGGGCGAATGTTTGAGTCCTCAGGTGCTGGCTTGCGTCTGAATCAGCTCGGTCCTTTGCTTCTCCAACAAGATGTCAGCGGCCAGCTTTGCTGCCTCGAGTCGCACCAATTGTCTAGGTCCTCCAGTAGAGAGGTTAGAATAAGGGTACCAACTTTTTTTGTAGTCCATTTGTGTAGGGGAACCCTCCCAACCAAAAAAGGCGAGAGAAGGGTACTACTGGGGGACCTACTTGTGCTCTGAGGAAACTTGAAAACACACGCCCTCCAAAGGGTTGTGTCCCCCCACCCCAAACCCCAACTCTTTCAGTGCTTTGCTGGCAACTGTCAAGGCACTACGTTGCCTCCCCTCCGGTTTTGGAAAATCTTGTTTTGGTATGCAGACGCCAGCCAGCCAGCCACCAGAGCCAGCCAAAATAACTAGATGCTGACACCCTGCCATTGCGATGCACGAGCTGAACCCCCCCCCCTGGGTCTAGGTGTGTGACATTCACGGCGTTCTGGCTCTCCTGCTTCTGAAGTTCATTGATGCCTTGGACCAGCGATCAGTCTCGAATTTTCCGGATGATGCAGCCAGCGACGTGTTTCGGGTGGGCAAAACGATCCCTTCCGTTTTGGGGTTGACATTTTTTTGGCAGGGAACCCACCACAGAAAACGGGGAAAGCGGGTGCTGACCCACCAGATCATGGTTTGGGGTTGAGTTGGAAATTCTGTTGCTCTTGCCAAGGCCCTGGCGCATGGTGGTTTCTTTGATGATATCCTGCAACACCAGTGCCGTCGCCGCGTCCACGGAATCCTTGCATTTGCAAGGCCGTGCCTGTCGCATGGAGGATACACATGGTAAGCCTGTCACCTACATCCCGAACTCATTCGCTCACAGCATTCATAGAACAAGTCACTTCCTAGCCATGGGCCGGCAACCTAATTGGAGAGTCTCACGCACTTTGAGCGATAGGAATGGCCTAGCTGTCATCATGACAATTCCGCCTGCGACCGTTTCCAAGCCTGCTCCAGCAAGCAAACTGCCAGCAGCCCGATATGCCAAGAAGCGAAGCGCGTGATCTCCAAGCTTTGGAGCTCGACACCGCGTAGGGTGTAGAAGGAGTCCGCGGCCTGAAGTCAAACCCAGAAAAGAAAAAGAAAAAAAAACTACAAAAAACTGGCGCACCGGCATACTATGGATGGACGAAATCCGCTTCGCAACACCAAAAAAACCCTGGAATGATACGATTCTCCGGTAAAACCAACGAACAATGGTTTCCAATGCACAGTAGCAAGGTGTGAACAGTTGGACGCTTTGGAAGTACGGCCCGCAGCTGTTCCAAGCGTACAATGGACCCTGACAGTTGGCACGTGTTTGTATGTGCAAAGGTCACTTTCCCCTGATGTATGCGAAGGACTGGTGAGCAGGGCAAGGTTCAAGGTAAGGTTTCTGCCTCGAATCTGGCAAGACGGACACCCACCTGGGCATTGAAGGTGTTCTGCGTTAGGTTGTTGAAGCCGGCCATAAATTGCGCAAGTGTCAGCCTGCACAATGTGAGGGCAGAGAACAAACCACCCGTCCGACAAAAAGCCGGCCAGCTTACCAGCGACTACAAAGGTGCTTCTTAGTACGAGGGTCTTGGAACAGTTCTGGAAACTGTTTCTGAGAGGGGGGGGGCTAAAGTCTCCCATGACGAAATGCCACTGCTGCCACCTTCATGACACCAGATAGCAAGTAGCCCTAATCAAGTACAACACGTGAATGGCAGTGCCAGGCAGGTTCGTGAGACGAAACAGCATGCTTTCCCCTGCCGAGCATACATCGTGAGATCCGAGTGGAGCCTCTGATGCATGCCCGAAAAAATCCCGATGCCAATGCACCTCTGCGTGTGGTCGTGCCCCCCCCCAAAAAAGAAAGAAAAAAAAGAAGAGAAAACACCCCTTCTGTGATACCAACATGGGTCTTTCCCATGACTTGATCACTTTGAAGGGGATGTCCTTCGCAGGTGACGACCTTCCAAATGCTGAGGCCCCGGCGTTCCAACCTGCTGGATCATGCCACTGCGGGCCTGAGACTGAGAGGCTGAAAGGCCCTCGAAAGCGCCCCCTTGATGGGAGCTCGGGTTCCCCAACTCTTGCCCAGAAGGAAAAAGAAACATGTGGCCATGAAGATCCCCATCGAACATTTCCCCTCCAATTCCAGAAAAAAACGGCCCCAAAATTAGAGACAGGGGACGCGCTGGGAGATATCGCCAGGAACGTCCGAAGTCATGGAGACCATCCTCATCACATCCTGCACCTGGTCGCCATGCAAAGCTAGCTTTGCTTTTTTTTTTTTGATTTTGATGACCCATTTGAGGGGGTATAACCAATGGGAGTTGGGATAGTGAGCAGGCGAAAGCTAGAAAACAGCAGCAGGTGTCAGGGACTGTTCGGTGCCGAAGCAAGACTAGAACGTGAAGGCACGCTTGGAGCAGGGACTGCATTGCCGACTCTACGAACTAGTTCCACCCAAATGTTGGACAACAAGTCCGCACTTGCTCATGCTTGATCCAAGAATATCATTTGTTAATGAATCCACTTTTGGCCGAGGCCAATTTGGGAACAAGTGGAACTGCAGTTCCTTCACTCTGAAAAACCACCGGCATACTTCTTGTTTGTTGTTTTGATTGTTTGCTTTTTCCTTTGGGGGGGTGGTGTGAGTTCAAGATTCCACCAAACCAATCATTCCTGCCGACATATCAAGTCGCGAAGAGTTGAAGCAGGAAACGTATATATTGCACTAGCGAGGCTCTTGCACGGGTAGACGATAAGTCCCCCTATCTTCTGCGTCGCAATATGGATTCGGACTGCAAACATCGCATTTCGGTCCTTTTGGTTCGCGACCAAATCGCCAGAAAGGGTAGCGAGGCTTCAAAAAAGACACACCAATGCACTTTGAGCGGTTTGCCTGCCAGAAAATGGTGCCCTCCAGCTTGAGCCGCACGTTGTCGCTGGTGCGGACCTGCCGCCAGTCTGCGTGAGGTGCAAACACATGGTTGGGGTCAAGAGAAAAAGTGACAGGGGTCGCCATTTGTGGTTGGTATTTAAAGGGAAAACCAAAGGACACCAAACCATATTAGAGGACCCCGTGTTTGGAAAAACACCAATTTCGCAACCTCTAGAATCCATTGCGCAAATGGTGTGATTGGAGGGGTGCATCCGATGCAAGAAAGAAAGCAACGGGAAGCCTTCGTGCTCCTTGGCCAGTGGTTTGCGCTCTTTTCGGGAGAAGTCTGTTGATCGGGGCGCGCCTCGTTTTGAAAGAACATCTTCTGGGCGCGCAAATCGATCATCGTGAGCAGAACTTTGGGCACAGGCTCCACCAGAACCTGCGGAAACGCCACATTGACTGCCAAACATCACAAGCATCACCATCATCACCCAAAAAACAAAGTCAGCTTGCTCTTTGAGCTGCACCAGGTTGCTTTCGCCATGGGTTTTGAAAGGTACGCGTCATGCCAAGGCGCTGGAGATGTATAGGAAGACCAGTTGAACTCCATGAGGGAAGTAAGAGGCGGGAGAAAGAAGGCAGTGGCACCGCTGGCGCCAGTGACGAGGTTCACGCTGCCATGAACATCTCGGGTGACGCAGGCCTCACGGATTCGAACGGATTCGGCCATCAGCATTAAAACCTGGAATTTAAGGGCTCAAAGCCATGGCAAAAAAGCGAAGCGTGTCAGATATTCGCACTTTGTTCTGCTTAGGATGGAAGCCTACTAACCTTACCATTTGACTCGTGCACATCCTGCAACTCAGCTCCCTTCTCACTTTCACGGGACAAGCCAGGTTGACTTGAAGTGGATTCACAGCGCAGGATAGCGCAGGTGGGTACTGTACTCGGTCGGCCTGGTGCGGCAACACCAAAGTCTTCTGCTGTACTTCGAGGATGCGTTCATAGGGCAGCGGGATGAACGTCCCGGCGGTTTCATCCAGACGTTGCTGGCCCGTCTGCCTGCGGTGCGCTCCCAAAAACGTGTTTACTCCTGACCCCGAGCTCAGATAAGGGTAGCACTTTAGACAAGCTGCCGCTACATGGTCTTCTATGCTCGTATATCTCAGCTTTGCTCCACACTCAAATGCCACCTTTGGATTCTGGCCTTGATATAGCAAACCAGGTGTATCAGGCTTGAAATCTACCCAATTGGGAAGGGTCGGGAGGCCCTGCAGGGGGCAGAGTTGTTTGTGCACTGCGTCTCTCTTGCTGGCGACTAACAGCCCCAGCCCCGCCTGTCCACAACCCGGACAGCAGTCTGACTGTCAACGTACACTGCTCTCTGCTTGCCATCCGGCGCACTCTCCACCGGCTCAGGAACAACCACCTCAGCCCACGCAGCCACGATATGAATGCCTGACAAGCCCACCACAAGAAACTGATGTGACGACGCCCCTCATCTGATGAATCTTCATAGCTGAAATAGGGACCATGGCGGGGGCTTCTGTTTTCGGAAGTTCAAGTGAAACCGAGCACAACATGCGGGGAGGTTGAAAACAAGGCCCTCAGGCCTAGAAGTCTGGATGCAGGCAAACCACGGAGGGACCTTGCATCACCCGCTCTTCTCCAGTCTGGCCGTTCACCAAGCGCAGGTAGGAGTCCTGCATCGCAAGCCACAGGTCTGGCTCGAACCGAGAAACCTTTTGGGGAGTGCCAGCCATAGGTGTCCTTTTTGGGAAAATCGATGGCCCTGGTAGTTGATTGAACCACCAGGTAAACTAGGGCCCTCTATTTGTTCAACCAAATCAACCAAAAAAGTACACCAAAACAGTGCCAGCATGTGCCAGCCCAAACCTCGGCTGTTCTTGGCGGATGCAAACCAGCCGCAATTCTTTGGGCGTCGAATCTTCCGTAGTCAGACTTCGCGGTCGCAACCGAATGGCCCGAAAGGTAGAGTTCCATCTCATCTTTACACAGTTGCAACCAGTCTAGAAAAGGTAGCCATTGATTTTCGGGGTTCGACCCATCAGAAATGAAGCTCACTGGATGTCACCCTTCCCCACCCCTTGTTAAGAGGTTTAACCAGTTTACAGTAAGTGAAGCAACACCGAGCGTTCTGCGTGGAATGGGGTCATTCGCCGATATTCGCCGCAAACGCGCCTTCTCCAAAACCCACTTGGAGCTGACGTTCAACAGCTCCTCGTAGGGCCCCACCTGAAGAAGCTGCGGGCCCAGCTCGTTGCGGGTCTGACCTGGCCGGACAAAAAGCCACACGCTGCTCATGAGCAGCTCCGGTAGGGTGCGGAGGTGGAGCCCCTCTGCAGATTTTGCGGGGGGCCCTTTTGTCTAGGGGTGGATTCCCGACTTTTTGATCAGCCGTCGTTCTTTTCAACAACCGATCGCTGTTTCCCCAGGGTTTTCTAGGTGGTTTTCCAGAAAGAAGGATCCCTGGAAAGAATGGGGAAGTTACCCCTAGATTTTCAGTTGACTTGGATCAGAATCAGAAGGGGGACCATAGGGAACCCGGAATACTCTGGGCGCTGCCTCAACAAGGCAGTGCCCATTCACAAATCCATCCAGCCTGTAAGATGATCCTTCACAACTGCGTACATCAAAGGCTCCAGTAGCACAGCGTCCTTCTCTGCAATGATGCGCTCCTTGGCATAATCCCACGCTGAACTGTTTGCTGGATTGGCGTTGGAAAAAAACAAGGGAATGATTTCTCTTCGGGTCATTCCGTGAGAACCAAGCTTGATCCCAAGCTGAATGCTTGTGTTCTTGCGAGTTCTTCCTGCCTCAGTGAAGGCATTGTGTATGTGTCTGTGGCTACACACATTTTTAGAGGTCCCTCCATTTGGAGACAACCCCACGCCTCACTCTCAAAGGACAATCGCTCACCGTTTCCTTGCCACGGCGCATATGGAGCCGGCACAAACATGCCCTTCTCTGTCACCAGCCTCTTCATGCCAGATGTCTTGTTCCTTGGTTTTCAGCTTGAGGTGCAAGGTACAGGGAGTTCCTTGTTTTGCAATCCGGCAAAACAAGAGGACATCAAACAGGGCCTCTCAAGCATGCGTGTGAGAGTTGCATCGCTGTGTTCCCAAGTGGCTTTCAACTGAGCACGTGTCTGGGCAATTTGTCATTGCGTGTGGCAAAACAGTCCAGCCCAAACAGCGCGGGGATCGAGCCTGCCATTTTGAAAGAACATGTGCACTTTGCTACAATTTGTCTCTCTCAACCTCAAGAATCATATGATACTTCCCCTCGTTTGCCAGCGCCGCAGCGGGGTCCACCAAGTCAATGCAGCTCCCATGGCCTGCTGCTTGCCACGTGGCTCCACCAGCACGGCATTGGTGTGCCCGATCACGATGGCCGTCTCCACGCCCGAGGGCCACTCTTCCCGAGGCTCGGGCACCAGGATTTGAGGCCCGCGGACCTCGGGGGGGTGCCAAGCCGCGCTGGCCCGCCCCGGAGGTGGCTTTGCTTCTTGCTTCCTACGCAACAGCTGAAAGCTATGGTGGATAGGCCCAAATATGTGCTGCCTTTGGAGTGCTAGGGTTCCGGAAGGGTTGTCTTGCGGTGTTGCGGTTGGGGACGCGACAGGGGTGGGGGAGGGAGGGGGGCAGGAACTTGGCTTCGCTTCGTCTTCAAGCAGCCAACGGTTCCCAGTCTTTCCGGCTCCTGGTCCCAGAAATCCGCCGGCAGAAAGGGGACCCTCGGTTGAAGTGGACCCTGGGGCTGGATACCAGGATCGGGCCCATAGGCTTGGCCAGTGCCAAGAAAACCTATAAAAAAACAGGTGGCTTCCAACCTTGCGATCGGTGCGACTGGGAACGAGAAATGGAATGACCTCTAAGTGGTGGGTTCCGTTAAGGGGACCCCCGGCTTCATTCCCTCATTCCCCACTGAGCACCAGCAAGCAACCCATTTGCGCTAGGAAACGACACGTTCAAGGCCCGTCATCTTGTGGATCAAACGGATGTACTCCCGCTTCTGAAGCACAATCTTTTCCTGCAAGTCAGCAGCTTGCAATATTCAACCCGGCAGTTTGCCATATCACAAGTCAGCAGTCCTGGATCCTGAGCAGCACCTCATACGCGTCCATAAAGACCTTTCAGGCGATTGGCTAGCGGCTTCAGTTTAGAGCAGGTTTCATGCACCCGGCTGGTATCATCACTACAAATGGCTCAAAGCTGGGCAGCCTTTTGTTAAGGCTGACACCAAAAGGAAAACCGCCTTTTTAAGGGTCCGAACGGTTTTGCACAAGGGGTCGGTCAAAAGGACCTTTGCATGTGCGTCCCATGGGAAAGTTGTTACCCATGGTGAAAACTTGGGGCCCTAAAGGGAAGATGGATCAACCCCCACATAAACCCAGGATGTTTCGAACATCCTTCCAGAATGTCATTCCCTGCCTATCCAACCAGTAAGAAAAGGAAGACCTCCCCGATTTTCAAGCTCTGAACTACGGCTTTGCACATACCCCCCGCAAATAAAAACCTCACAAGCTGCGGAACCGGATGGCTGCCCACCAAGTTACGGACCAACCCCATACCCAACCCCTCACATACTCTAACTTTTGGCGGACTACAACCCCATGAAACCAACTAAAAGGAAAGCTTCCAACAGCTTCATCACCCCCCCCACGAACCACTAACCCCCCCCCAATGGAAGATTGATCAACCCCCCACTCAGTGGCACTTTTCAGCCATAGCCCAGAGCGCCCCATCGGCGAGATCGGCGCGCCTGGCCAGGCCCCGGCTCATGGCGCTCCAACTGGGACCGCTCATGCAGCAGCACCGCGTACTCGCGCTGAGACACCTGGATGGCGTCCCGGACCTCGTGCCTGCCGAGATCTGGCGAGATCTGTGAAAGCACCGCGTTTGTCAAACAAGCGGATGCTTGAAGAGAAGAAAAATCAAACATGTTCAAATACGTGTCAAAATAGGGATCTGAAGCCCAGGCGCCTGTAAACACGCAATTCCGATCGAGTGGATGGCAACCGAACTTGGCATTTTCCGCACAAATGGTCTGACCCCACAAAGCTTCAAGTCCATGAATTCAGGAAGTGAGTGCAGGAGGCGAAGTACGACACAGGGATGTGGAGCACGGTTGCTGTTTTGCGTTGGCCTCCCTCGAACTCACTCACAAACATGCCCTCAAAACACACACGCACACACACACACACACAAACAAACAGACAAACACGCAACAACCAACAGAAAACGACGCGCAAGCAAACCACAAAACTCAACAACGCAAGCACACACACACAAACACGAAGAGACACACAGAGACACACACAGAGACACACACACAGAGACACACACAGAGACACACACACACAAAGACACACACACAAAGACACACACACACAGAGACACACACAGAGAGACACACAGAGAGACACACATGTCAAACTACATGCTTCACTTTGCACCCTTGTTGCATGTATGTTCACTACCGCAGGCCTTGAGCTTACTACTCCGCATGAGTCAAAAGGTTGGCAGCTGCAGACTACATCGGTTGACTGTTTGTTTGAACACTACAGCACTTGCACTTGTAAGCAAAGTAACAACCGATTTTAACGTGGTAGCGGAGCTGAGATCCTAAACATAGGGGAGCTCCAGTAAGCAGTAAGTACTACAACAACAGAGCAACAGCAGCTACATGCCAAACTACTACGACATGTCAGGAGAAGCAGCATCAGCCTCAGCACAACAAACTACAGGAGCAGAGAACGGGCCAACAGCAGACACAGTAGGAGCCACGACTACGGGAGCAGGAACAGAACAAGACAACGACGTTCAGAGACTACATAGATACAAACTGCCACCACCCTTCTTCACTGGTGACTACTCCCAGTATGAAGAATGGCTGTTCAAGCTACAAGCATACCTCGGCCTCATAGACCGAGACTTCGACCTGGTGCTACAACTAGCACAAGTGGCTACACGACAGATTGAGGACACAGACATCAGAACACACATACTCGACCCTACACAAGCAAGCAAAGCAGTAGACCTCTCCAGAGATCTACACTACATCCTCATCAACATCTGTCAGGGAGCAGCAGCTACAGTAGTAAGGCAAAACCGCTACAACGCAAACGGATGTGCTACCAGATGGAATCAAAATAGCAATACTACTCAACAAAACCAAAGGAGCACTGCAGCAACACCTCCAACTGCGAGCTGGACAGATCACGAACTACATCGAGATCAGAGCACTCATCCTGGACTACTACAAAACGATTTCAGCCTTCACTAGATCTACTTCAGCAGTAGGAACAAACTACAATGGAGGAACTGCACCAATGGATGTTGACAACATATGGAGGAAAGGAAGAAGCTACAAAGGCAAAGGAAAAGGAAAAGGCGGCTACAAAGGAAGCAAGAGCAAAGGCAAGTACAGGAGTAAAGGACACTACAAAGGATTCGACAAAGGCGGCAAAGGAAACTACAACAAAGCAGGATACAACAAGAGCAAAGGAAAAGGCTACTCAGGATCCAAAGGATATGGATCAAGCAAAGGCTACAAAGGCCAAGGAAACTACAGCAAATCAAAAGGAAAAGGAAGCAACAACTACACAACATGCCATCGATGTGGCAAGCCCGGCCACTGGGCACAAGACTGCAGAGTGCCGGTATGGCACATAGGAGAAGGAGAAGAACTACATCCACTAGAACAAGAACAAGCAGATCACGACAACAATGATGAACTACCTCAGGATGTGAACGACACTTGGGACTGGTACTACGAAGGAGAAGAAGGACAACACGAGGTGAACTACATGGAGGAGAACTGGAACGACTACGACTATGACAACAGCTGGGATTGGAATGACAACAGCTATGAGGACACAGCAAACTACATTGGAGGCATCAACGAATCACACCTCACCATTGGACACATCAGACAAGCAAAATCACGACTACACAAGCACAAATCCAAATCACTACTTGGCAAGAGAACAACACACACAACATCATGGAACGACCACAGCAAGAGCTTTCAACAATTCCTACAAGAAGACACCACAAAGCTACACTTCGACATAGCAGCAGCAAGACAACAACAAAGGAACAAGAAGATTGAGGACACTATCACCCACTACATCATGTACTCCAACTTCAAGTCATACCACCACCTGTTGATCGACTCAGGAGCATCTACACATGTTTGCCCAAAGGACTACGCACCGGATCTTCCACTACGACCTTGTGGAGAATCAGTTCCACAACTCTACACGGTGACCAACAAGAAGATTCCAGTCTACGGCATCAAGTACGTTCCCTACAAGCAGGACAACTTCAGGATCATGATACCCTACTACGTTTGTGATGTGAAGTATCCAATCCTCAGCGCATCAAGACTACTTGATAGAGGATATGGACTTGACTTCACTCCACGACACTGCACCATCACACATGGACAACAACAAGCACACCTCATAAGACACTCAGGACTTTTCTACCTACGAGCAGAGAAGATCGACATCCCTACAGGATTCGACATCTACCCAATGACTACAGACAATGGAAAATCCATTGCTGTGATTCAACCTACAGAGAGAGCAGCACAACAACAAGAACAAATCGCACCACTCACACACACAGACCAAGGACTACGACAGATCCTTGGTGGAAACACTGACTACTGGAAACTTGATGGTGACTACGCCATCAGAGTACACAAACGACCACGCAAAGCACTGTTCACACCACACAACAGTGGCTGCCCAATACCAGAAGAAGAACTAGATGATTGGCGACTAACCATCATCAACAGACAAGGGCAAGAGCAAGAACAACTACAAGAGAACCCAACACAACTTTCCAAGCAAGAACTACAACGAAGACTAGAAGGTGACAACTGGACTGGAGAAACCAGATTCAGAAGAAAGATAACACCTACACGCAGAGCAACATCAAAGACCACACCAACAAGGCAGAGCTCACAACCACAACGGCTAATGGACACACCGCCAACCAGATCAAAGATCCAACTACGAGCACCACAAAAGATATGGAGACCCAAAGCAGCACCTTCTACAAATCTTGACACCACACAACCAAAGGAGACAATCCACAGACCACTCACAGCACAGGAGGACAACCAAGACTACTGGGAAAGACAAGGTGAACAATGGATACGGCACCACACAACGCTTAGAACAACTCTCTTCACTCCAACAGATGGACCAGGACATCCACCAATCAACACACTTGAACCTCACAGAACTACAATCACTCACAACAACTTTGGAGAAGTTTCACAACGCAAAGATGACTGGACAGTCATGGGCAACGCAGCACTACCATTTCAATGGAAAGGAACAACAAGGTTCACCGTGAAGAAAGACTACGAGTACATCCAGGAGAACCACGATGAAGAACAACAACACGAGCATCATGAAGCACACAGAGCAAGAGGACTGCGACAACCACAGCAGCCCACTCCACAACAAATAGCAGAACACAACCTTACACATCTACCATACAGAAACTGGTGTCCAATTTGCGTTCAAGGCAAAGGACGCCAAGACAACTACAAGAAACAACAATCACGACAACCTGTCATTCAAGTAGACTTTGCCTACATCAAGTCACAACAAGACCCAAAGACCACACCGGTACTGACAGCAGTTGATGTTACTACACAACTGTGTATGGCAGTATTGGTTCCAGACAAATCATCAATGATGGACTACATGGTCAACAACCTACAAGCATTCATCTTTGAGTGCGGAAGAACACAAGGCATACTACAAAGCGACAACGAAGACACACTCAACGCACTTCTAAAAGCTACAGCAGCAAAAGTCGGCACAATGAGTGTACGACATTCACCTTCCTACAGCAGCAGTCAAGGAAGCGTTGAGCGACTACATAGAACACTTCTCGGACAAATCCGCGTCGTCAAAGCTCAGGTTGAAAGCAACTACAGCATGACGATGTCCACAAAGCACTGTCTACTACCTTGGATAGTACGACATGCAGCATGGACGGTAAATCGCTACGTCATTCACTCAGACGGCTACACAAGCTTTGAACGCCGCTGGGGAAGAAACTACGAGCGAGCAATCTGCGAATTTGGCGAGACACTACTTTACCTTCCACCACAACACAAGAAACTTCCGAAAGCAGACCTACGGATGCAGAAATGCATCTGGCTCGGAAAAGTTTCCGAAACCGGAGAAAACTACGTCGCAACGGAATCAGGCGTACAAAAGGTACGAACAGTACGGAGACTACAACCGGACTTCAAATACGACCTCGCACTGTTGAACAAAGTTTCCGGCACACCATGGGCACCACGACGGAACACCTACAACCCATCGTTCGCAACACTGTTGGATACGCAACTACAACCGTCAGAGAAAAGAAGGTCCACGCAAGATTTCGGACAACAAACGAACGCTACGGACGACATCGTTGCGGAACCCGCAACAAAACAACAACGCACTACACCACCTCCACGACTTCCGTCCACATCGACGTCAAGTTCACGACCACTACCGGATAGTCCTATGGCTACTTCACCAACTGGACGACAACATCCACCACTACCAGCACCACCTCGACAAACACTACGACGTTTAACTCCGGAAGAAGTAATGCAACCAACTAAAGCACAGAAGACCTCAAAGGACACTACAATCAGATCAACGGAACAAGCAACCAAAGAACCACCACCACTACGACAGAAAATCAACGCAGTGACACTTCCCAACGGAAAATCCATCACTCCCTACACAAACGACGACACCTCAGAAGACCAACCCATAATCTTCGACAACGAAGGTTACGACGAAACACAACTACTGGAAGGAATGAAACACGA